CCCCCCCCCCCGCCTTTTGTTCTTTTTGAAATCTTCTAATTGATATATAATGCATCCACCTCGATAATTAAACTATATCTCTATTCTTTTTTCTCATATTTGCCATCTTGTTTCTCTTCATGCTGTGAAGCCTATTTGATTTGAAAAACATTGGAGTAAACTTAATGAAGCTAAGTTAGGCCTGTTTGATGTTTGCAGTTCAAACCAAATGGGAACTGAATTAACATGGTATATTTTGTGAAGCTAATATGGATGAAATCAAGATGATAGAGCCTTTGCAGCTTTTTCACTTACACTTTATAGTATGCGGGAATTGTTTAAAGCATTTTCCGAGTGTGATCATAGAAGAACCTAAAGCATCCATATATAAAACTTGTATAGACTCCACTGTTTCCTTTTCTCATTTCCTTTTTCTTCTTTTACAATATGCTAAATATACTTTTTAGAGAAAATGTTGCACTCTCGAATTTTCCAACAATCATCTATAGCTTTAGGTAATTACATCCAGAAGCAGTGAAACAAAATTTCCTTCAAACTCATTTCCTTTTGTTTCCCCTAAAAACCAAATACGAAATAGATGTTCCATCCAACAATAAAAAAGATTTTTTGCTGGACACCTTTTTGAATTTCTTGTATCTACATGCTGACCAACCAAATTAGCAGTCATCACTTAGCTCAATGACAATTTGGACCTTGAAACTTTACCATATTTTGTTTGCAGAAGAATCAGTAATTTCCAGTACTCGAGCTGATAGGACATCTTTGAGCAAGGTAATCATCCGCTACCGTAAATCACGGACACAACTTCCCTTCTTTTTTTTAAGGACAGTTGCACAGAAAAAAAATGATTGGTTTTAGCTTTGACGTTTTCCTTATATCTTTATAGGATTGGAGAGGAATACCAACTAGACTGAATAATATTCCTCACTCAAGAGAAATTAGGGAATATTTCTACACTGATGTGCTTCAGGCTACTCAAAGAGCTGTCAATGATGGGAAAACTAGATTAAAGGTTTGACTCTCCTTCGATTCAAAAGCAATTCAGATAAGGTTAACATGCGTTGGTAGAACTGTTATATAAGATAATGTTTATTGGTTACCATTTTAACTAAGACACCACCTTCTTTCAACCGAAGGGGAGCCTTGGTGCAATGGTAAAGTTGTCTTTGTGTGACCATAGGTCACAGGTTCGAGCCGTGGAAGCAGCCACTAATGCTTGCATTAGGATAGGTTGTCTAAATCACAGTCCTTGGAGTGCGGCCCTTGCCCGGACCCTTCTAATGCAAGATAATTTGTGCAATGGGCTGTCCTTTTTATCCCCTTCTTTCAACCATCTTGTTTAAGTGCCACATTTTCCGACCACTTTGATTGAGAAGTCACCTTTCTTAGTGGAAGTAGATACAAGATGTTATTTGCATATGTAGGTGAAATACAGTTTTCTGAATATACCATGATATGCCCCCCTTGAGTGAGTTGACGAGTTTCTAAGAAGAAAGCCAGTATGTTTATTTGTCAACCAATGAAGAAAGATAGCTTGGTATGATACTTTAAATCTGTTGACACATGAGATTCACTAGATTATTTTCCCCTTGAAGTTCATATTCGACGGAATATGGAGATATCTCTTATCTTGTTTCTAAGAATTTATGCTATTGTGAGAACGAATCACTAAATATTTTAAACACTTACGGATAACATGTGATTACTCAGTTGAAATAGTTCCAATGAATAACTCTACTTATTTGAAGGAAATATGCCATATTCTGGTGTCCAGATAACTCGAAACATGGAAAGGTCACCTTTTCTTAATTTTGAGAAAAGAAAAAGAGAGAACTACCAGCTCATGTTCCCAGAAACTAGTTTTATAGATAATAAAAGCATGAAAATAGCTAGCTCAAAAGATGAATCTTGTCCCATTCTATTTAATAATATCCTGTAAACTTATAGTATATGCTCTTCAATATTCTATCTAATCTCATATGTAAAGTGTGTTTCGACAATTGTGCTGGTGTCAGAATATGGTGCATCTTTTGTTAGTTTTTTTGGAAAAAAAATAAGGAAAAGGAACCCTTGAGCCGCAGGAGGATTTATTCAATAACATAGTTTGAGCTCCTAGAATATGGCACCTTGGGGCTTTCTATTTGATTGTATCTAAAAAATGTGGTTTAAAATTGAAGATCAAATTGCAATGAAACGAGAGAAACTAAGCCGTTCATTTATTTATGCCAGAGAATTAGTTTTATTCTTCATTGGACCTATACAAGGAATCCAGGCCTTTTCCCCATCTACATTTATCTTAAATCCAAGTTATATTAATACCTTTATCTTGATTTAACAGATAGAAATCAATATCCCGGAGCTGAATCCTTCAATGGTGAGAAAACATTTTCTGATCATATTCCCATAGTTTATTTAGGTTTGACAGTATCTTAAATCCACAGGATGTTTATCGAATAGGTACTCTAATGGAACTTATCCGTGTACTTGCTCTTTCATTTGCTGACGATGGAAAGCGTGTCAAGGTATGTGTCGCTGATGGTTATTCTTGTCCTCTCTTAGTTAATCTATTATCTTTGAAATAAGGCAAATTATACATATTCATTTCTCCAGATCTCATTTGTAGGTTTGTGTCCAAGGGTCTATGGGGGAGGGTGCACTTGCAGGGATGCCTTTACAGCTTGCAGGAAGTCGAAAGATATTAGAGTACATGGATTGGGGTGATTATGGCGCGTTGGGCAACTTTGTCAATATTGGTACTATAGGTATTACAGAGATTAAAATTGTACTGATGACTTTCATTTCCTATCCAATATCATGTTTTTAGAAGCATACTGCAACTATAAATGGTCCTCTAAGACATAATATACAAATCTATTCGTGCGCGCTCGTGCACAACGTTTCTCTTTATTATGAGACAGGGGCAGAGCCACAGCAGAAGTTACATGTTCAGTAGAACAACTTTGGCTCAAACCCTGTAGTTGTATTAAGAAATTCAGTTTATATGTATAGATAATGCATCCCGAACCCAGTAAGCAATAAGAGTTGTTCTAAACTTAAAATCGTAGATCCACCTCTGTTGTGAGGGGTTTATTTGAGAATGTAGTTCTAGTATAGCTGATAGTAGAAACTTCATAGCTTTATAAATGTTTCTGTAGTGTGATGACTATTTGTGTATGCTGTGCAAGTCTACACATGCTAACACGAATTGTTAACCTGCATTTTTTTCTGAGGTTAACATTGCGATAAAACACGATATAATCACACTCTTGAATTTGCTTCTTTCATGATTGCTGGTCAAATCCATGTTTACTACCATTTTTTATGTATTTTTCAGGTGGCAAGGAGGTCGAAAAACAAGATGACTTGTTCATTCTAGTGGCTCCCCAGAATGCTGTCGGAAATTGCATCATAGATGTGATTCACTGTGAACCAGTTGCTGTATTTTCCTCATATTACTCTTATTCAGTTTATTAAATTCTTTTCCTCCTGTTGAATAATGCAGGATATGAGAGCTATGACTGATGCAGCCGGTAACCGACCAATTATTCTTGTCAACCCCAAACTAAAGGTTAGGATCTTAATACCTCGTTAATGAATGTGACTTCCTTTTAACTAAAAGACAGCTCATGGCTTACCATGAGTCTCAATTGCAGTAGCAAAAGTTGTTTGAATGATAAATTAGTCTCATGTCCCTTCCAATACTTCATATCACCTACCAAGGTGAATCTTGTGGCTGATGCATATTCAACAATACTCATTCTTAATTTCTTTTTGTAGTTTATCATAAAACATATTTTGATTCTGGCAGTGTCCAAGAACTTAAATGCATCGTCTCATACCCAAGTCCATCTGTCCATGTAACGTAGAGAGTACTGTTCGACATGTAGATATGCAAATGAGACGAATTCATTTTTCTACTGAAAGTATTTATTCTAGAAAATTCTGAAAATTGACAACTGTGCTTAAGCCTTCTAATCTGGATTAAGAGTGTTTTACCATCTATGTTACTCTGACTTTTCATAAATGTCAGTGGGTGCATGTCGGATTCTCCAAAAGTAGTGTATTTTTGGAGAATCCGTGTGGATGCAGTATCGAAAGTAAAGAGTCCACGCAACTTAGTTTACCATTACACACTAAAATGTTGATTACCAACTCAAATTATCTAAGTATTATCCATTTATTCGTCTTGCATTTATAATGATTTTTCTCTCATAGAAAACAATAGTTTTTAGTGGCACTAGAAAACCCGTTAAATAAATTTTGCTTACACTTCCAGTGTTCATAGCTTGACTCCACTTCTCCTCGATGATGAAATGATCACAAATGGCTTGACTCTGATATATCACATACTAATTGTGCAGGATTTACCTGCTTCAAGTGGTATCATGCAAGTAAGTATACTAACCATTGAACCATAATGGCCAACAGTAAAGGGAACTTCGTCCTACGTTCTGATTGATTTTTTCTCTTTATCTTCAAGACAATGGGTAGAGATAAGAGATTGGAATATGCTGCATCCTTTGAGATATGCTATCAATTCCGGCTACTCTACTATGCAGGAACACAATATCCTATTATGGGTGCACTCAGGTTAGATTTGTTTCTATGCTATTGATTCATTTTGTCATAACATGATCATGAAGAAGAAGGGCAAATTAAAATGGCATGAAAAATCTTTCTTTTTTCGGTTTAGTGAGATAAAATGCTGATTCACGGATCACTCCTTTGTCATGACTGATGTTACTTTTTTTTCCCTGGCTTTTCGAGGTCATGAAATAAGAATTCATGTTATTTTGGTATTTTCAGTGTATTGATCCATAGATTTTTTGGAATTTGTTCTATCAGCCCCAAACTTGGCGGGTTCAGCTGAAACCACCTATAGTGACCAATACCCATGGCTTCATCTTGATTGACATCACTTTTTTGGCATTTCGGCATCATAAAGCAGGAATTCAGGATTTTTTGGTGTTGTTGGTGTGTGTTAGTTTTTCGGAGTTTGTTCGACTGACTCTGTTCTTCCCCAAACTTGGTGGGTCCATCCAAAACCGTCTGGTGACCATTACTCCCATTGTTTCTCAATGACTAATGCCACTTTTTTTTTTGGCATTTCGGCTTCATGAAGATAAGAGTACAGGATTTTCTAGAGTTTTCGATGTGTGTTAGTCCATAGATTCTCTAGAATTTGTTTGATCGACTCCGTTTTGCCTCAAACTTGATGGGTCCATCCAAAACCTCCTGGTGACCAATACTATCAATGTTTCGCCATGACTAATGTCTCCCTTTTGGGCATTTCATCGTTAATGAAAATAAGAATTCAAGATCTTTTGGAGTTTTTGATGTGTGCTAGTCATAGATTTTCGGGAAGTTGTTCAATGGACTCCGTTCTTCCCAAACTTGGTGGATCCATTCAAAACCATCGGATGACCAAACTCATACCGGCATAGCTAGTCTCTAAATCGAATGATTCCTTAATTAATAGATTCTTGTTGTAATGGCCTCTGCAAAGAAGAATGGCTGAATATATCCATTGTCAACATTCACACTCTAGCTAATTATCTCATGTTATAGGATGTCGTATCCATATCCTTACGAGTTATACAAGAGAGTCGATGAATCACCGGGGAAGGAAAAATACATATCCTTAGCAACATTTGCAAAGAGGCCAAGTATTGATGAAATGAACGATGCCTTCGATGGAAAATCAAGGTACACTACAAATCATAAACCTGAACTCATTATAAACTCCTACACTTATTAAATCTGTTTATTATACCTCTACATCACTGCACTAAAACGATACTATAACGATTATTACTCTGCAGAAATCAAGAGAAAAAAGCAGAGGGATTTTGGTATGTGATTAACTATCCTCCGTTTTATCTATGTTTGGAGTAGTCTGAGTTGGCTTCGAGTTAATTGATAGACGTATTTTGACATTCTTTTAGGGGCTTCTTGAGTGGCATACTATAAGCATCGATGGAGAATGCACGAACATCATGACATTTAAGATGCAACATCTACATTTGAACATCCAAAACTGACGGTAAATCAATCATCTCTTGGTTTTTGAATCCTTTCGAAGTATGCAATCACGTTCTCGATTTGAAGATCTGATTAATGTGTTCAATATTGATTTAGTCTCCTGGCACATATCGATCGTAAAGTGTATATACATTTCCTATATATATCTGGTGATTTTGGTAAGTATTTCGACAAAAAGAATCGTAACAGACCTTATTCTGTATATATATATTTCTTGTTCAGTTCTCTCTATTATAGAAGTTGAAGCAATTCTTACAGTAAATCTTTTCAATGCTACTTTCTCACAAGAACTAAGTTGAGAAGAAGGCATCTCTTTGTAACTTTTGATGTAAATTCACTAAGTGTTCTATTTTACCTTCTTTTTCTTTTATGCATGGGGAATTCATGTGTTATGTACCTATTTTGGAATAACTTGCTTTATTATGGGTGTGTTGGGTACGAAGGAAAATATTTTTTAGGAAAATAAGTGCATGATTTTCTACTTATTTTCATGCTTTCGTTACGTAAGCAAAAGATATTATCCTAAAAATAATTGTATATAATCTAGACAAATACTAAGGGAGGCAGATGTGGGTGTAGGGGGGAGGGAGCTATGGGATGGGATGAAAATGAGGTGTACGTTGCAGAGTGGGGAGGACAAAACAAGACACGATCAATATGGAATGCCCAATCGAACATGAATTTTTTTTCTCATGATTAAGAAAGTTGTTTTTTTCCTATCGAAATTATATTTTACCAACCAAACATGAAAAAAAAAATTAAAAATATTTTTTGAAAAATGTGTTAATATAAATTTAAATGAAGGAAAAAAAATAGTTTATTCTATGTGACAATTGGTAAAAAATTTACATGCATCAAATTTACATCAAACTAAATGATTTGGGATTTAATTAAAAAAAAAAGTACTTCCTTCCTCAATTAGTTATTCCTACTAAAAAGTTTCGAAAAATAATTTAATCCTATTTCAATAAGGTTTATAAAATCAATAACTTAAATTATAAATAGACATGAATCCTTGATTGATCTTCACCATCAAAAAGAAAAATGGTAGGTCTTTCCCCTGCTGATTATTTCTCTATTTTAGCTATCATTTTTCTTGTTTTATTTGTAACTTGGTTATGGTAGTATTTCGGATTAGCACCAGCATCAACACCGACACCAACACCAACAAGAACAGAAAGAGCGGCTACTATTGAAGTAGTAATAGATATTTCAAATGAAGCAATAAAAACTCTGGGAATTAAAGGAGAAAATAGTGATTGCTCGATTTGTATCGAAGAAATTAAATATATGGAGATGATTTTTATTTTTCCTATTTGTTGTCATAGGTTTCATTTTTGCTTGTATTAGGCCATGGTTAGAAAAAAATAGGACATGTCCCTTGAGTCGGACTTGTGTTTGATTGAAATACTTTGATTGAAATTTTCATGTTTTTTCATGTTCAATGAGATTAATTTATTTAATTTTTTGAGTAAAAGATGTTGTTCTACATTAAACTACATCTCATTAATTTTATAATTAATCCTAAAAGGACTTGATTAGGACATGTACTTCTTAAACTCTGAATCATAATAGGTTTATAAATCAAGAATTAAACTTTTAAAACCTTGCATTGCCTTCTATTTGTTACATCTTTTCAAATTAAAGTCTTTTGAAACTATGAGTTCTTTTTTCTCAATTTGTCATTCAAAATAGATAGAGGAGTAATCTAGTTATTTATTAGGAGTAATAGATAGATATGGTAGATAAATATTAGTTGAAACTAATAAATGATGGGTATCTTTTATAAAATATAAAAGTTTGAGTAATTTTTGAATTTTTTTAAAATCCAAATATTAGAACTTGGCCCAAATACTAATTTTTTTTAGTAGATGGAAACTTGGGATTCTTGACAAATATATCTGTCAAGTTAAAAAAATTATATAACAAGTGATCAAGGTTAAACTATTACCTTCTCCATTCAAGAGAATCCACTTAGGTAAATTGTAATAGTAGTAGCAATGCACTTCACTTAACATGTTACACAATTATTACTAATGTCTATGTAGAACATAATCTTTTTTTTGTTGTAACATTGTGAGAAAAGTCATAATATGATTATCGTATTGTCAATTTATATTGTATCGTATAAACCTAACATTATGCTTTCCTTTTGGACGTATTTTAGGAAAACTAAATATATTAATTAATAAATAAATATTTACAGAAAAAAAAAACATAAAAGATAATGTTATAGATATTCTTTATGTATATAGCTTGTTCACTTTTTTTTTTTTTTTAATATGCAGCCTTTGTAGTTCACCAATTTAGGAATTCATCCAACATTGATAACATCATGTACATTCACTTCTTGAAGAAAACAAAAATTAGCTGCAAAAATGCCCTTACCAAAAAAAAAAAAAGTCATCTATCTCCCATAATTCATTGCATAATCTTAGACAATATTGTCTTATTATTAGATCATTTCAACATGTTCCTTTGAGAGTGTAAAATTCCTCAAACTCGCAACATGGTTCTTGAAAATCTCGAGTAATTTTTTAATTACTCGTGTGTATATTTTGCAACTTCAGCACGACGTTTAGCTTGTTCAGCAATCTCATTCAATTCCCTGTAGTTCTTGTCATGAAATAAGCCATTGCTTTCTGCAGTCTGGAGACCATGACGTGTACGTTGATCCACGGCCCATTGTGCTTCTCTTTCGCCTTTTCCATAATCCTTCTTTGTTGTGAAGGCGGTCTAACAAGTTTTACAAGAAACATTCAATTAGAATTGAACATGTCAAAGATAGTATTAAGATTACAAAATGTGATCATGAGGCTATAGCTTTGTTTGTTTTTTTACCTTATTCTGGATCATTGAATCCCAGGCATCACCACTCAACGCGTAACGACTAATGAATTTAAGAACATCAAGAGGGAGATATGTAATAATTGTGTAGACCCATATGATTGCTGCCCATCCCCATCCAATTCCATGGATCCTAGCAAAGTTCCAGTTCGCGTAGACGGTGATAAGTGTAGCCACCTGAGTTAGAAAAAAGAAAAACAGGATTTTGATTAGTAAGAATATATGTATATACAGAGTTGTGAAGATTGAATGTTCATTAAGGTTCGATTGGTTTGAAGGACTTACGAATTGGGCTAGAAAGAAAGCAACGACAAGCAAAAAACCGGGGCGTTCCACAAATGACCAGCTTCTTGATCTTGTCACAAAGATGAGAGCCTGACTGATTATACTCACTTGAAGGTATACAGCAGCTGTAAGACCGTGTTCGTTCTCCCTGATTGATCTAACACCGAACTTCTCCTGCAAATACACAAGATAAATTTGCTTATCATGTTCCAATAGTACGTTTTGTTTTTGTGCTATCAGTTATAACTTTTTGCATGATGGTAAGCGTTTGTTCCAGAAGATTAAAAAGGAAAGAACTTACTGTAAAGAAATCAGTAGAGGCTGCAAGATAGAAGAACAGAACAGTCATGAGAGCTTGATAGGTTCCGAGGATGATCCCAGTGGCAAAGATCTCGTTGAGCTTCCACGAGTCGGGCAAAGGAGATGGCTTGACCCTGTCCTTAGAGATGGTCATGATGGTTCCATCGTTGAGGATGGCAATGATGAGGACCATAAAGGGAGGGAAGTCGAATTCCCAAATGAGTGCAATGAGCATGAATCCCATCACAACACGGATCGTGATTGAGACTGCATAGATAGTATAGTTCTTCATCCTCTGGAAAATGGCTCTGCTTGTCAAAACAGCACTAATAATGACACCAAGACCTGGTTCGGTCAAAACGATATCAGATGCACCCCGAGCTGCATCTGTTGCATCAGCAACTGCAATACCAATGTCTGCCTTCTTCAGTGCTGGTGCATCATTCACACCATCTCCAGTCATACCACAAATGTGCTTTCTTTCTTGCAGCTTCTTCACAATCTCGTACTTGTGTTCTTCAAAAGAATCAAAACAAAAGGTACTACTGTCACATAATATAACAACATTTCACTGTACTGTCAATATTTTTTACTATTGAAACTGTTTTTTCATGTTGTGTTATATTATATGTTCTCTATAACATCATTTCGGTATAGCAGCTAAAAAGTATGAGTGGCACCGTTATAGAGGGATTTGACTGTATTTTATTGCTAGATATTTACCTGGGAAAACTCCAGCAAAGCCATCAGCCTGCTCAATAAGCTCCTCAACAGGAATTTGAGCAATCGACTCATCCTTGTGATCACCAAGAAGAGCTGAAGATGGATACATGTTGGTTCCCATACCGAGCCTACGACCAGTTTCCTTACCGATAGCAAGCTGGTCACCAGTGATCATCTTAACATTAACACCAAGCTCGAGAGCTTTGCGAATTGTCTCTGCACTGTCGTGCCTTGGTGGATCAAAGAGAGGTAAAAGCCCGACGAATTCCCAAGGTGAACCAGCACTTTCCTTATCTTTCTCTGGCACAGTCTGCACAAAAATTATCATGAGACACTGCATTGCACTAACTCAAACAAAGTTATCAAACATTATATTTGCTTTACCTGTCTTGCAACACCCAAAGAACGAAGACCGCGGTTAGCAAAGTTGTCGATGATTTCATGAGATTTCTTTAAGACAGATCCACTGAGCCCACAGAGTTCAATAATCTAGCAAAAGATTATGCTAGATTAGACACTAAATGTTGAAATTAAGTATATGAAATTGAAGTATAAAAGAGATTGTATATCTTACTTGCTCAGGAGCACCTTTGCTTGCCCTGTGCCAGTCTCCGTTGCCATCGATATAGGTGATTGCAGTGCGCTTATCAACCGGATTGAATGGAAAGAAATGAACCTCTTGGATGCCTTCTCTTGCCTGCAATATCACAAGTACTTAAGCTCATCTACAACCTATTTGGTGACAGATTAACGACGAAGTTCTTAGTTAATTCTAGTTTCACATTACCAGTTTAGCATCACCCAACATATTAACAATACAAGCATCAATAGCATCCTGGTTTTCGACCCTGGAGGCTCTAGCTGCAAGTAACATAACAGTGTCTGCATCTGCGTTCTTAGGGAATACCTACAACCACGAACATAAGTCGTTATGTTATGATAGGAATTTTCATAACAAAAAATGGTATATTTTTGTCTTGATTACGAACCTCAATCAAGGTTTGGTCAACAGTAAGCTTGTTAAGCGTGAGGGTACCGGTCTTGTCACTGCAGAGGACATCCATACCAGCCATTTCCTCGATAGCAGTCATCCTCTTAGTGATAGCGCCTTGTTGGGACAACCGATGAGATCCAATAGCCATGGTAACAGACAAGACTGTTGGCATGGCGATTGGGATACCTCCAATAAGCAACACCAACAAGTTGTCAATTCCATCTCTATATTTTCGCTTTTGAATCGGCCACATTACCACAATCTCAATCACTATTCCCACAAGAATTGAGCAGATACAAAAGTTTCCAATAGCAGTCAACACCTGATCACAGATATAACACAACAAATTTTAGAAATAATACTTCAAAATCCGTTCTTCTTTGCATATGCTATTTTGGAACAAATCATAGAGCGTTTTTTCACCTTTTGGAAATGGCCAACTTGGTTTGTGCTATCAACAAGATGTGCAGCCTTTCCGAAGAAGGTATGAACACCAGTAGCAATGACAACAGCATCGAGCTCGCCTTGCTTGACAGTGGAACCAGAGAAAACTTCATCACCAGGTTGTTTGGTGACCGGTAAGGACTCACCGGTAAGTGCAGCCTGATCAATCTTCAGGGGATCACCCTCGAGAAGACGAGCATCAGCTGGGATAATGTCACCCAACTTAACACTAATCAGATCACCTGGAACCAGGAGCGAAGCGTCCTCCTCAGACCATTTTCCATCTCTCAAAACCTGAGAACCACATTCTCAAGATTATAAATCATCCATTCCACATAGAGAGATAATCGTCAAAAAACATGAACAGTGATGAATTGTGCGAGCATTTCATCTAAAATCATGGACTTGATTCTTTTTATGGACCTAGAACGTCTGATACTATGTTGAAATGTATGATTACCTCATTTAAGAAACGTCAAATTAGCATTTCATCCATTGCACATAGAAACATAATCACCAAAAAAACATGAACAGTATATGACTGTCTCATCTAAAAGTTTAAAATATTAGAAAAAACACGTTATATTCGACAGTTACTTATACGTGTACCTTAGTTTTGGGAGCAAGATTAGCCATAAGGGCAGCAGCAGCATTTCCAGCATTGTTCTCTTCAATGAAACTGATAGTAGAGTTGATAACAAGCAAAACCATGATACCTACAAAGTCGGGCCAATCCGGTGGCTTACCCTGCATTTTTCGAAAATTTCACCTTAGATATTAGTTTGTTCTAACTTCTAATTAGCCATAAACATGAACAAAGAGATGTATTTGGTACGACGAAAGTCATTTTTCTAGTGAAGGAAAACGACTTCCTCCTCACAAAAGTGAGGGAAGTCATTTCCCCCCCTTAACGTCGAAAAAAGTTTCTCTCAACCAAACATGAGAAAATAAATCACGACTTCCTCCTCACAAAAGTGAGGGAAGTCATTTTCCCCCTTAAAGTCGAAAAAAGTTTTTGTCAACCAAACATGAGAAAATAAACATTCATTTTTTTCAAAAATATTTTCCGAAAAATACTTCCGTTATATTTAGTATATATTTTCTTACCCCTCCATTTGCCAAGACAATAGACATGATAGCAGCAGCTTCCATGACCCATGATAGAGGATTCCACATAAACCCCAAGAATTTAAGGACCTTGTTCTCCTGTAATAATAAAAATTAACACAAATTTTTAGTGTTTATTTTTTTCTAAATAGAAAAATGAAACATCAAAATATTATTTTTTTAAAAAAATCACCTTTTTCTCTTCAAGTTTGTTGGGGCCAAAAATTTCAATCCTTTTTTGGCCTTCTTCTTTTGTCAAACCTTCTTTGCTACATTTTAGTATCTGGAAAACTTCTTCCACTGGAATGCTTTCCTGCAAGATCATTTTCACAACGAGTCGAGATGTATTCAGAATCTAGAGTTTATGAATTCATATCATAATGAGTGTGATATGTACGTATAATTACTATTAATTTTATTTTTTTATCTATGTGTACATAATTCGAGCAAGAGGTATTAGGTACAATTAAATCCACATATATAACACGTCCTAATTGTTCACCTATGACCACATGACATGCAATCAGTGTAAGAGGCAAAAATTTCACCAAGAGGATTCATCATTTATTATATATAATATACATAAATAAGAAAAATTATTCATCATTCATTATACTATGACCACATGACATGCAATTAGTGTAAGAGGCAAAAATTTCACCAAGAGGATTCATCATTTATTATATATAATATACATAAATAAGAAAAATTATTCATCATTCATTATACTATGACCACATGACATGCAATTAGTGTAAGAGGCAAAAATTTCACCAAGAGGATTCATCATTTATTATATATAATATACATAAATAAATAAAAATATTCATCATTCATTATATATATATAAATGGAAAAAAAAATCTTATATAAACAATATGATCATGCGAAAAAGATGCATGTATTCATTACGTAATTAACAAATTTAACAAATTCATCATCATTTTTACACAAAAATAATTTGAACTCATCGAATCAAATTTAAATTCTGAATTTTGTTGTAACCATGTCCATGAGAGGGGTAGATGCATTAGGTAATCAACAAATTTAACGAATTTATCATCATTTTTACACAAAACATAATGCGAACGTTACTAAAATCTCAACAAATATTATAATTAGAACTCATCAAATAAAATTTAAATTATGAATCTTGTTACAAAGAGAGTGGCGCTGATGCACTATGTAATCAACAAATCTAACAAATTCATTATCATTTTTACACAAAATATAATATGAAAGTTACTAAAATCTCAAAAAATATTGTCATTAGAACTCATCAAATAAAATTTAAATTTTGAATGTTGGTCACCACGAGAGAGGTAGATGCACTATGTAATCTACAAATTTAACAAATTCATCATCATTTTTACACAAAACATAATATAAAAGTTACTGAAAATCACAACAAATATTATAATTAGAACTCATCAATAATATTTAAATTCTGAATCTTGTCACCACGAAAGTCATGGAAGATGCACTATGTAATCAACAAATTTATCATCATTCTTTACACAAAACATAATACGAAAGTTACTAAAATCTCAAAAAATATTATACTTAGAACTCATCGAATAAAATTTAAATTATGAATCTTGCTACGACACGAGAGGAGAGGAAAGATTATACTTACAAGATCAACCTTCTCATTCTTAAGCTCTTCCAAGGATAAATTAGCCGCCATGATGATAAATTAAACACTAGAAAAAAGAGGGAGTTTAAGAGAAACCAATTAATTAAAAAAAGTGAGTTTTCAACAAGGAAGAAGAATTAAGAATGAAAGAGAAATATATTAAGGAAATAATAATTCTATTATTATTATCACTCTTTGTCTTCTCCCTCATCTAGGCTCACTTTCTTGAAAACACAAATTCCCTCTTTCAAATCAGTCCATATAATATATAGTTATATGTTAATTACTTGTTAATTAATTTGACTACTTTTTTTTATGATCCCTTAAACAAGAGTTTATATCTTTAACACCTTAGGTTAATTTTGAGATAATCCTATAAAAAAGGAGAAGCCATGAGAATTGCTATACATTCTCTCTATTCTTTAAATGTCCTAATATTTTGTTTTACTAATGCTAAAAACATGCAAAACCACACAATATTGAGATTTCTTTTTTCCCTTTTTTTCTCCATCTTGAATATTTTTTGCTATATTTTATTTATTGTCAATGCATATGGTTCCAATAAAATAGCAATATTAGTTGAAATAGTATATTAGTGTAAATGAAATAGTAACTTTTTCTCCTTTTGTTTGGGGATTTTTTTTTTATTATCATTACTTTGGATATAATGAATTGAATGATTGATTTAATCAATCCATATTATCGGCAAAAATAGCTAGGTTATGTTTGAGAAAAAAGATTAGGTAACCATGAATAATATGGATTTAACTTAGATTAGGTAATCACGAATAATATGGATATCGATATTATCTATTTCTCAACTTCTCATCCATATGAAATGTGGACAAGTCAAATATTCGTTTTTGTCTAGAAAAAATTAATTAATACTCAATTGATTTCCAACTCACTCATATTTAATTCGACTTTCTAGTGTGACATTAATGTTGAAATGGTATAAACTTGTGTTGATTTTTATGTTGAGATGATATCCCTACAATCCAAAGTCCAAACCAAACGGCCCCTAAGTTTAACATCTCCCAACAATGACAATGTTCAAGAAGATGGTCAAGTGGCAAGCTAATAAAATGTCACTTGACAAACTTAAGATTAATTTAATAAATATTGTTATAAGAATTTGAATTAAAAGTATTTGTATTTAAAATACATTAGATTTTTAAAAAGATTTTTCATTATTTTAAAAATAAAAATCCATAGTAGAAGAGTTCTAAATGAACTCTTATTATTTTATAAATTTATCCTTTTAAAATATTATAAATAATTAAAAAATAACAAACAATAAAAAAGTAAAGACGATAAACAGAAAAAAGGGAGCAAACGTTGGAAAAAAATATTAAAATAACAATTATAAGGAAAAAAAAAGGGAGCAAACGTAAGAAAAAAAAAATACTGTAACAAGGATAAGGAGGAGTAACAAACTGGTCCTCTTTTTATTCTGTTATTGATAACTAATAAAATATTTAAATTAATTATATTTAAAAAAATTAAAAATAAGGAAGAGTAATAAACTGATCTTCTTTTAAGAAAAAGATGTGATATTTGAAATTTAAATTTAAATAAAATTTGAGTTGGAATGGAACTCTACTTCTTAACTTCTCCTAAATATACTCCTACAAACTTTACATATGAATCTTCATTCCTCTTTCTTCTTTTTTTAGTGGGTTTTTTTTTTTGTTTTAATGTTTTCTGTTTTTTATTTTTATTTTTATTATCTGAAACATGTGCAACTTATTAAATTCAAATTCAAATTATCTGAAACCTGAGCAACTTATTAAACTAAAAATTATCGGAGTTCTTAAAATAAAATTCAACAGAATTTTTCAAAAAATTGTCGTCAAACTCCGCTTGTCCTCACAATTACGTGGAGTCTATCCTAAACGGCTTGGATATAGACTTCACTTAAATATTTTTAAAAGTTTTTGGGGTCTCAAAAATGCAAAATGCAAAATGATTATTATCGAAGTTTTCGATTAAGCCCTCTTCCCTCTCCTTAAGTTAAGAAAAAAAGAATGCTGCTTGAATGAACGAATATTCGTTGAACCTTTCTAATTGACACCCCCTTCTTCCGGACCTCTGGCAGTCAAAGCTATAGGAAGACCTCTGGCAGTCAAAGCTATAGGAAGACGTGTTTCGATCTTTCCATCGATAGAAGCAGTAGGTATATACCACATGCAGCTTGTAAGCCCTAGTGGCAGCGGTAATGTACATACATACAGGTATATTACAAAGAATGGCATGAATCGGTAGGAAATATTAGAGGATCCATCCATAGTACGTTAAATTTGAAAATCTAAATATTCATTCGGACACAATTCCTTGGCCTCAACGTTGAGAAGGCTCAGCTTCAAAATCGTACACATGGAGAACTTCCGTCTCACTAGCATTTTCTACTACCCTTAAAAAGATATTAAAGTGTTTACTTTTAGATCTAAATAGAATGAATAATGATGTGTTATGAAGACACTGGTACACAGGCTTTACTGGTGTCAATGAAGGCCTTTCATCTGTTTTATTATTCATATATGAAAAGAAATCCATAATCCAATTTCTCCATAGAATGATGAGAAGTTGCATGAGCTTTATACAAATTTAACCAATTGCTGTATACATACATAATCCAGAATACGTTACAAGTAGCATACAGTTCCCCCATCCCTTCATCACACAAGTGCAAATGGCAATACAGTGCTAACACAAGCTGAAAGCCTGTGGCCAAGTCACGAGACCACTAAAACATATTTAATAAGAACGAGATTATAGAATGCTCTGCATAGACCCTTATGTAAAGCTTTACTGAAACAAGAGGCAATCACCTCTTTGCAATATGAAGAAAATATACATGCCCACGCATTACCAAGTCATTTCTACAACATGAAAGATATCCATCCTCTCATAATTTACACCACAGAACTATAGTACTTGTCCAGGGAATGCCATGTCAGTACTACAAATGCATGTATCAAGTACCAGTAGAATACCTTGAAAAAAATAGAAACACCTCTAGCCGTGACAAGTGCATGGAGCTCAATCTGATATAGAACACCCAAACCTATTAATTAGCCAATGGCAAATGCTCAGCTAGCACTCATGGACATCGTTCTCACCCCGGTTTGCAGTCCATGTTTATGAATAATGACAGTAAAGAACATTATTCTACATGCACATCCCACAGACACTGAAGTGCAGTAATCAGGGTACCAGTAAATCCAGATCAACAATCCTAACTAATCAAGATATATTAGGACTCGAGAGATTCCCAAGTCACACTTCTGGTCAAATACACTTTCAACACCACTTAAATGGACTACAAGTACATGATATACTGGAAAGTTTAATCAATCATTCCAAAAGTATGTGATAGACCTCAAGGGTGTCTGTCTCACAATGACACGACAGCCGATGAAGAAGCCGCCTTGATATGGAAATAAAAAGGCACAGGATAAAATGCAATATGGCTCTTGATACTAAGTTGACAGTGGCAATATCAAAGGTATCGGTACTGGTGAGATCATGATTCTTACTATGACACGATAGCCGGAAAAGAGGAGAAACACTCTTCTGATATAAGCCTAAACCACATAACCTTATATGTTTATAACTCAAATCAACATGGTTTACAACTAACAGCCTATAATAGGCAACATCATACGAGTTTATCTTACAACTATCACTCCAACAGACAAGGATGACAAATTGGTGCATCAATTGATAGTATGATAATACACCAGCTACCAGAAACGATCCCATAAAAATCCAGACTCCTAAGCAAATTATAGCCCTTTCAGTAAAATTTTACATTCACTAGTCTGACTCAATGGTGAGATGTGAAAAGAACTAGAATTTTTTTCTCTGTTCCAATTTATGTCAATAGTTTTTCATACAGGTCTGAAAAATTCCAGTGTTGAGCTAAGTGAGAGGAAAGATTCGACGATCAGAAAAACCAAAAGCTAATTACTTCTGTGAAAAACATCTAATCAACACAAACACTCCCCAGCAAGTGTAAATCACAAACAGATAACTCAATGCATGAATGCAATAACAAAATACTACTGTTAACCAACATTAAACAGCTCAAATTAAACAGAACAACTTCATAATCAGTCATTAATATATAAATCTCTTCCAAAATAAAAAACACAATCTGTTTCCTCACTGAATAAGCTCCTATTGAGCCAGAAAATAAAACATAATCCGAGAAGTTTTTCCATAAAAAACTTAAATAAAACACGATTCTTCCACCTTAAAATCCTAGCTTGGTCCTACGCCAGTGCCTACGCTTAGCATTGTACCTAAAATACAAAAATGAAACTTCATTAGTAAAAATCAACATAAATCAGAACCAAAATAATATCACAATACTCTATTTAGCAATTTGTGAATATGAATACCTGATTGTGTTATCAGTCCTCATACGGATCCAGTAAGGAATTGGCCTGTTCTGTCTCTGCTTCTTCGCTAGCTTCTTCTTAATCATGAATGACTTGTGAGAAGGCTAAACAAAAATTGCAAACAAATCAGTTTAGCATACACGAGCTTACAATAAGTATCAATTTTGAATACTTCGAATAGAAACTCACCATTTTTGCTGTTGGAGATTCCCGGCGCTTAAGCTCTGATGCTGAATGAAACCCTAAAGCACGAACAAAAACCCTAGTTTTTGTTCTATATAACAATGCAACACAAGGCCCACTGGGTTGGTATTCTATTTGGGCCAATTTTTTGGGGTGCTGATTATAGCAGATGGCCCATTATTAGGCCCAAAATCTGTGCAAATATATAGTCCTTTAAAACTTAGCCTTTCAAACAACATTAGTCAAGTCTAACACTCTTATGTTTGTTTTGTATAATATTGTTTCAACCTTGCAGACAAAATATTTGACGGTAATAACTTACGAAATTATAGACCGAGTCTTACATTTTTTTCACATTTTCGAAATGTATCTTTAGACTGTGGTCTAAAATGTCCATAAGTTGTAACAGAAATAAAAAGTGATCACACCTAAATTTGTTTATGTAAATATTTCTACACGTTCAATGCATAAAACTGGTTCTTATTATATGGTCTGTATATCTGTGGAAGTTATTTAAACCTTAGCAGAAATGGTGAAGCTATTACTTCACTTCCTTTTAGTTCAAGCTATTCTTTAGCGGCTATTAAGATTGTGGATTTGTGGTATATTGAACTCTCTGTTTATGTCATATGCTGTTCTTAATGTAAGTTGAAACTTCCTAATACAAATCCCATCAACATGCTCCACTAAAGAACAAGAGTACAGCGTACAATCATGATAGAAAATAAACTGGAGTAAAATTTTCACAAATTACACCAAAAAGAGACAAGATTGAAAGTCGATTAGCGTTGGCATGCTGTTGCGCATACCCTTGCACAAAACGAAATTACAATGGGTTAAACCTGTGATATCAGTATGTAATACAGCAAGTTCCAAGGCAATATAGTGAGTAAGTTACATAGGCTATACTCAAATGCCTAATTTTGACACAATCATGCTAGTACGAAACTCCAGTAGTGAACTTCACCGAAGGGTGAAAGAGGTATCCGACTTTCATCTCTTCTTGAAACCATATTTTTTACGTTCATAAAACAGATCAGTCTTGGCACTACCAAGATTGACTATCTTTGGACAGCCATCCCTATCTTTCTCCTGCTGAGTACATTCCTTGCAATAGTAAGCATCAGAAATACCAACACCACCACAGATGACACAACGGCCTTGAAAGGATCCATAGTTGCATTCATCACAAACTCGGACAAGTGTGCAAGGACGGACGTATGAATCACAAATCACACACTTCCCATCACATTTCTCACAAAGTCGACCAATAGCTATTCCTGGCTGCTTCCGGCACATGATCAAATCAGGATGATGCTTGGCCATATTTCTAACAGTGACGTCTTAACCTGGAAAAGAAGAATTAAGCAAGAGTCATTAGCAGACAGCAGATACGAGGCAAAACAACGTATTTCTTAGATCTATATGATTATGTTTATTGTAGCAGAAAGCATAGTAAAAAATATAAATGGGACAAGTAGAATACAGCAACTAAATCATTCTGATTGATAAAATAATAAGTTAAAACTTTATCATGTCTGTCAAGAAGCAAAAAATAATAGAATTCTATAAAGAGAAAAATATTATCACCCTAGTATCATAACATATCATGTTACCATTTGCTAGGCCCTACAGATAGAAGAAAATGAACGAAATAGCATCAGTTACAGAAATGTCCAAAACCGATCATGTCTGCCAAGAAGCAAAAAGAACAGAATTCTATAAAAAGATAGATATCATCCTCCTAATGTTAACATATCCTGCAACCATTTGTGATGCCCTACAGATAAGGAAAATGAAGAAAATACCATCAGTTACAGAGTTCTCCAAAACAACTTTGATTCATCAGCTTTGACACTAACTAGATGGAGATGAACTCGCTCTATCCCTACCCCTTTAGCTCCTGTACTTTTCTCCTGATAAAGATTTGTCAAACATTATGGACAATGGTATGGACCGTGGGAAAAATTGAGTTCCACAAAGTATTTTCTTTTATATTTTATTTTGTGAAGGGGAAGATAAAAGGTGAAGGCAATATCCCATCAACTTTTTGGTTCTTAAATTTAAGATTGTCTCGACCCATCAACAGGAAAAAAAATTGGACCCTCACGGAGATTTTCCCAAGAAAAATCCTCTTCATTAAAGTAATGCAATTGTTGGTGAGGGGTGACACTATGCACTTTGCAAACACAAACGGCTTTATGCACCTCTAATTCTAATTTCTACACAGAGTAACAATGATATCTACGTCAACACAGAAATTAATATGGTTAAACCAGTTGGTTATTTCATGCTTTGTTAAGATACAGTCTTTACAAAGATGGAGTTAAGAACTTGCAGAGATCTTAGCTTCACTATCCTACATTGCATTTTATTTTTTTATTTTTTTTATTTTTATTTTATTTTTTTTATGACAAGGGAAACCAGCAGTCGCTACCCTTTGGATAGGCACAGGGTAAAAACCCCACTCCTATGCTATAGCTCTCAAACCACATAGGAGAGGTAACCCGCACTAGGCAAGCCCGCTCGGCCCAGAAGGCAAACCCCTTACTTTCGCTGGCAAGGGGTTTTGAACTTGAGACCTCCAACATGGAAGTCCCAAGCCCAAACCACTGGGCCACCCCGAAGGGTTTTTTATTTATTTTTGAACAGGTAACATTTACTACCCTACATTTCATTTTGCAAGCAGAAACTGATGACTAGCAGAATCCCACAAACTACAAAGGTGCAGAAAAGCAAGAAGTTGGAGTGCTTTTGAGTTGTGAACCTACTTCAACTCATTTCATACAGTCGGAATTTTAGTGAATCGCTTTCTTTTTAATGAATAAACTACTGCCTTCTAGTCCACAAGATAAGAAGTCCATACACTTATTGCACTAGTCTCATTGGTTAAATCTTCTCAATTTTGAACACCTATAAAAGCATCCTCTTGCCCGATTCCTTTTTCCTTGAACAGGCAATAAGAGCCCTTTGCGCAATATTGTCTAAGAAGATCTTGATCATTATTAAATGTATGCAATCATTGAACTTAAATAAGTTGCTCAATAAAGTGAAGACTGGGTTTAGATCCTAACAAAAGGCGATTTCTTCCTATCCATCGAAGTTCTGTAAGCTGAGTTACCTGATATCTATACTAGTTGGAGGTAGCTGGTACGGGCAAACTAGCCAAAACTGACAACTATCAAGAAGAACGAAGAAAAAAAATCAAACTTTAAGCATTACTAAGTTACTACTCCTATCACTTATCAAGAAACACTCGAGTTCGATAGCTAGCAAACACAGTGATCATCATGTGAATGACTCTATAAGCATCTCTCTTTCTTTCTTTGTTAATATATAAATTAAATGCTTTTACTATTTACAATTGAGGTTAACAGGGATGTCCTTATTTCATGATCAAGTTATTTCTGCTACTGCAACAAAAGCAAATTGGTATAATACTGTGAACTCAATTACTTACATCTAAACCTAAAACTAAAGAAGAGTCAGAAAAAATATTTATTTTCAACATAAAACATAACAAAACATATTAAAAATGAAAATTATCCCCCCCCCAATCTTCGTAAAACAATCTCCTACTAACCTACTATTAAATAGACAAATCCTACCAATACAAAATTAAGTAATTTTCTGAATTCAAACATAATATCAAACAAAAGTAGCTACTAACAACAGTAAACTTTAACCAATACTAGTTCGTTCAAATTCCTACACGAAACAACCTCAATATCAAACAAAACACGATTTGAGTAGCTATCAACAACATCAAAAATTCAACACAAACGAAAATTAAAGATTAGCTACATTCAAACACAAAACAAACAGAATATCAAACAAAACACGATTCAAAGTACTATTAACAAGAGCAAACATTAACCAATACTAATTCGTTGAATTCCTACTCAAAACAATCTCAATATCAAACAAAACACGATCAAAATAGCTATTAACAACATAAAATTCAACAAAAAGGAAATGAAATAATTAGCTGAATTCAAACACATAACAGACGCAATATCAAACAAACAAAACATGATTAAAGTAGAAATTAGTAACAATGTGAAGAGGATGTCACGCAAACCTGAATCGATGAGCGAAGTTTCTGGAACCGAAAGCCGTAGGGGTTTAGCTGCAGAGAAAGGACTCAAGAGGAAAATTGAAGATGACCCGAAAAAATATTGAGGCCGGTGTGTATATATAGTATGGGCCAGAGGCGGTGCGGCCCACTCGAGTTTCACAATCCATTTGGGCTACTTTCTCATGGGCCTTATTGGGATGATTTGCACAAAATGAAAATAACTTTTTTCTTTTTAAGTTTAATGAAAAGAAAATAGCAAAATGAACTCTTGTACTTGTATGAGTTTGTATCTTGAACCCTTCTATTTAATCTTTTGTACACCAATTATTCTCTTAGTTTTTTTTTTTTCAATCGTCGGTGTCTCGGTGATATGTAAGTTGTGATAAATTGATATGAATATGTTCAATATAGTGAGTAGTGGTGTACAATTCAAACCATAAAGCCAAATCAAACCGATGATCGGAAAAAAAAACTGACTTATGATTTAATTTGGCGTTGAAAAAAATCGTTCTTTTAGTTGGCAGAATGATATGACTTAATAATGGAGTAGTATATTCATTTTAGTTGACTTAATGAATTTCTTACTAATCATATTGGATAATTATGATTTTAAAATTAGAAATAAACAAATATGTGACATGTAAATCATGCCAAACATGTATATGATTCATCTTAAATATTTAATCAAATTATCTTATTAAATTATCTAGACCATCATGATTTCAACACACAAAGGAGAGAAAAATGTATTTTAAGTATGACATGTGAAATAGATTTATTTAGAGAATAAATTTATTTAAATAATTGTTATATTTAATTTTAAATGTGTATAACTTAATAGATCATGCTCCCAAATTATATCAAATCATCATGCATAATTATAAAAGACACCGACTTATATTGCAAAAGCATATATGTTAAAACTTGAAAGTATAAATCGAGTTTGCAAGCAGTGAATTCATCACGTATATTTAATATGTTTGTCATAAAGAATTTTTACGTATCATGTTACTTCAAATATAAGTATTTATAAAAAGTGAAATAACACACAAAACTATATATGATAATAAAAATATTCAACAATTTACACCTGAAGAATTTTTTGAGTTTCCATATTAAATGGGATTTGTTTCAATCTATCAGTTGTACACATGTCTACAATAATAAAATAAAAAATAAAAGGTACTTGTTGAAGTATCAAACAAGATCATTTCAACTGTCATATTATTATTATAAAAATATAATTTAGAACTAGTCTGTTACAGCTAGTACTAGATTTGAATAAATATTAAAAAAATTATTGAGTTTATAGTTTTTTTTCAATGAACATTCATTAAATTTTGTAAACAAAAAAACTATGTAAGAAGCTGCATTAATTACATACTAATTTCAGAAAAATGACGGCTTAAATCACATTTTTGAAACGTAATTTGTAAATTTTATTTTTGAAAACATAACTTATTTATGTAGTTAGAGAGTGCAATTTATAAGTGCTTACTTGAAATACAATTTACAAACTGAGTTTTAGAAGAAAAAAAATTACTAGTCATATTTCATAAATGCGATTTATTATTATTTTTTAGTTAAATTAAACGACATGTAAATCACACTTCTCATATATATATATATATATATATATATATATA